AAATGCTAAAAAGCGCCATCAGTATAGCGCGAAAAAAATATTCAAACCGCCTATAGGCGCCAAGGCCACAGTGCGAGAAAATATTCAAACCGCCTATAGGCACTAACGGCGCCGAAAGGATCAATTGCACTAATAACATTTTCCCCGAGTTTAGCACGTGAATGCGTTTATACAGTGATTATGGTATGTTTGATACGGTGGTATTAGTATAGTTATAATTGTATGCAGAAATATAGATCAATATTTCCAAATATACCATTAAATTTCATGAAAGAACATAACCACCTTCTAGTTTCACAACTTTTTCCCATTTTTCTGGTAGAGCCACTGTACCGTCGTTATAAAATTTCTCTGGTTCTTAACTAAAATATTTTTCACGTTTGGCACGAACTTATGAACTTTTGAATACCGCACTAATCACCGTTTAATAAAACCTCCTCTAATCGAACGTTCAGTCGAACAGAACGACAATATCGACACGAAGACGAGATAACATTAGGTACAAATACACTTGCTTACACAGCTTATACAGTTCTAAAACGTTAACTTTCATTACCCTTCGTGTCTTCGTTGCAGGGGAGCGCTTAAAATTTTTCTCACAAGAGAACTTAACGTCGTTACTCAGTTTAATCAAGCGCAATGAATTGTACATCTGCTTTAACGGCGATTCAGTTAATACTTCTTGAGTAATATACAGGATGGTTAAGAAGGAAAAGAAGAAATAAAGGAACATTACGCGAACCTGGAAACCTATTTTCTTCAGCGTGGCGGAGCGGGCAGAAGATAAAAGATGGAGGGAAGAAATGCATACGAAAGGGAGTAGGAAGAAGGAGAAATACCGGAGGACATGGAAACGAGGAAAAAAGAAAATTGTAGTCGACGATGGAGGATGAGCGGCTCTCTTCTTGAAAATTGTTAGCACCGGCGAGCGTGTAAAAGCTCGGCTACGCGACGAGAGTCGAGCAGACTAGAAACTCTCGACTCAGTGGAAAACTCCCGGCTAGTAATCATAATTTTCCAGATAAAATTTACGGCAGGTCATTTTATTCTACGCAGTATCATACCGGGTGATCGCTGTATTACGTTAATTGGATGTCTGTTCCGAGGATATGACGTATCCAGCGCTAAAAATGTTAGATCGAATCTCGAAAGCTGGCGTTCGCTGTTTTACAGGAACGAACTGTTACACCCTCAAATATTTTCCTTCTTAGCCTTAGTTTTATCTGTATTTATGTACAACGAGTCACCCACTTTCACCATTACTCCTACTGGACTCTTCAGCTTCCAGCTCTCCTGTATAGTCACAACCCAAAGTCCATCTTCCCTAAACCCTTAAATAGCCCTATTTTCTCCATTTCCGCATGCATTCTCTGTTTTACCACGCGCACGTCACCTGACGTTAAACCTCTGTCAAATAAAGTGCCGTTTCTACGCAACCACGATCCTTAAGTGTCTTAATTTAGCGTTACCCCAATATCTGCTTCGAGTTTCGAGGAATTGGAGCAATCCGGGCATCACAGAACGTATACTTTCTTTCTTTCTCGTTCTAATTTTGAAAAAATTGACGTCTTAATTTATAAGAGACACATACGTGGTTTAGGTAACTTTTTTAGAAACTTTAAAATTTATAGCGAAGATAATGTATCGAAGATTCTCTAAGTATGAGAAAATTTGCATACGTAATTTAAATGATTCCAAAGGAGAAAAATTTTTGTATAAATGCCATTTATTTCTTTTTTCTTTAGGTCACCTGTGTTTCTTGAACGACAAATTTGAAGAATAAAAAGTAATAAATAATACGAGATTCGTCAATTCACACCATTTCTCTATTTCTAATAATTATCGAGATGTTAGACGAAATATGTTTATTACCTCATCTTTGAGGACAATTGTCACCCCTTCGATATGGATATTTCGAGTAGGTGCTACAATATGTCTAAAATAAAAATCTATA